TGCTTCAAAAATTTTAGTTAAAATTTTTGATGGGACTCATGCAGCAGTATATTTTATAGCTGATGATACAGAAGAAAAGTTTGATACTCGTCATGAAGTTGTGTGTTTATTAAATAAGATCACTAAGCTAAAGTTTGCATTCATGGCTATACTTTGGCATCACATACTTATAAGGTTTAATAAGTCCGCAAATTTCTTCAAAAAAGTTGAATTAGATTTGCATATAGCGAGCAGTATGTTACTTTCACTAATTGACTTTGTAATAAACCTACGAAACAATTTAACGAGATTTGAGAATGAATCGAAAAAGCTCGTTTATTGAAAAAGACTATTCTGATAAGAACAAAAGAAAAGTAATTAAGTAATTGAGCGAAACGGAGAAAACCAAGTTGATACTTTAAACATATCTGACAAGTTTCGAGTGAATACATTTTTTGTCATAATTGACAAACTTGTGACACAACTAACTATAAGAATTGATGGTTACAGCCATATAAATAACTTATTTGGATTGCTGTAAAAGCTGTTAACTATTAGTATCATGGAATTGGAAGTTAGCGCAAAAAAAATTATAGAAATGTACTAAAGGATTTAGAAGTTTCATTTTTGAAATAGAACAATTTGTATTATTATTAAAGTTGCAACCTCCACGTTCTCATGAAAAAGATAAATCTGAAACTAAAAACACATTGATGCCTCGGCATGTTTTAAATTGGATTGTTGAAACCAATATTATCGATGTATTACCGAATGTTTATATAGCATATTGTTTGATTCTAACTATTCCCATAACAAATTGCGAGGCTGAGAGATCATTTTCTGCTCTTAAAAGAGTAAAGAACAAGTACCGATCAACAATGCACGATAGTCGTTAAAGTAATATAGCAAGCTTATTTATTGAATCAAAATTGCTAGAAATTATTGAAAAGTCCTAATCCGCCATTAATCAAACCCATTAATTAATGACTTCGTCTTGATTTTTTATTCTCCTAATATAACTATGATTCTTGTCGTTTAACATACAGTTATAATTTTTTGGCTTATACCTAAAAAATTTTATTAAATGTAACTTTCAATTTGTTTTTGATAACTTCATTTATTTTTCAATTTCTTTTTTAAATAATTTATACTGTTGCATTTGTGGTTCAAATTTCCAACCAGAATTTCTGTTTGACCTTATTAGGTAACTATTTTAAATTTTGTTTGTAGAGACTTGCGCTAGTGACTTGTATATATTTCTTACGTGCTGATATATAACAATCCAAAAATCTTGATCGTCATTTCATTATCATCCTCTGTGAAAACTTTTTTCCATTCAGTTTGTGAAAAATATGTATTCTCCCTCCACATTTGGTAAGAATAAAATATTTTGTTAATTTATTTATTTTTTCTTTAAGTATATCATATATAAATTCCTATATATAAATTATTCCTATACATTCTATCTATATTATATTATACCTATATTATACCTAATTGTACCTATATATTATATCTATTTATATGTATGTATTATACCTATATATTATACCTATTTACCTATATATTAAACATATATATTTATACCTATATATTATACCTATTATTATACCTATATTATACCTGTATTTTTCCTATATATAAATTATTCCTATATATAAATTATCCTATATATATAAATTATTTTTTCATATATAAATTACAAAGTATGTGTATGATACCTAAAAACGAAAATCAAAGAAAATTGTTTATTTGGGTGTAAAACTTCAAAAATTTTAGCATGTTCCCTAAACAGATCCATTTGGCATATATCTGTCTGTGTAAAAAGTTAATTTAAGTAAATTTAGAAATTTCTACCTTAGGATAGGATGTGTGATATACTCGTATTTAGGTATTGTTTTATATAGAGATAGAAAATTGTTTTAAAAATAATTGTTTTGTCATTCAATTTTCTACTTTAAAGGACTAACTTTCTACCTTAAAAGGTAGAAAATTATACCATACTAAGGGTATATCAAAACTTACAAAATTAATACGACCTTATACGTATGGACGTCCATGTGGACGTCCTTACGTCTAAGGTCGTATTAATTTTGTAAGTTGTATAAATTTTGTAAGTTGATATAGTGGCCACTTGTGGTTAACAAGCATGAAGTTATGTTACGTTGACCACTGTCAACGTGGCCTAACCTTAAGGTCATAGAAAATCATCTTTCGTAGCAATGTGTTTTAAAATGGTTAGGGCTAAAACATCTTACGTGTTTTAAGATTTTTTGATTCTTAAATAAGATTTAGGACTTTATTGATTTTTTTTTTTTTTTTTTATAATTTATTTTGTCACTATATATTTTACATACAATTAACTTTAATTCATGTATACATTTAAAAATAAGATAAAAATTAAAATAATGACCGGAGCAAGTAGAAGACTGCAGTCTTATCTTCAAGCCCCTTTCATTTGCGACTTTGCAATAAGTTTCACGGTTCAAACCACAATCAATTTGCGGCATAAATTTTTCATATGTACTAAACTCATTTTACCCAAAAATATTTCTGTACCGGAGAGTCAAGACAAGTTGGCTCTCCGGTACTGAAATATTTCACCGGTTGATCTAAAATAATTGTTTAATCACATAAAGCGTGCATTATAATTAAAAATGATAAGAAATTTGTGATTTATAATAAATCATGAACATAATATAGGATAGCATAATATGCAATATAATAGACTGCTTTTATAATATTTAATCGTTTATATATATATATATATATATATATATATATATATATATATATATATATATATATATATATATATATATATATATATATATATATTATATATATATATATATATATATATATATATATATATATATATATATATATATATATATATATAGTAAATTGTTTAAATGGTATATAATATATTTAAAGCTACGGATTTTGAAATGTACAAAAAAAAAGTTTATGATTAAAAATCAACATTTTTTAACGAACGCAGGAAACTTGCAAAAGACCAAAAGTCTTATTATCATGAAAGTGCTTTTCCATAATTTAAGATATTTTTTAGATTTTTTCTTTACAATAACTTCATATTTATAAGCCACGTCATGTCCTCCTTCTGTTCTTGTTTAGGTAACATAAAAGTAAAAGAATTCTAAAAAGCAGACGATGTTAAATCAACATTGTGATCAAATACACAAATATAACAATACGTGACCGTCAACAGTTGCTCATGTACGTACAAATAAATTAACACTTACCACTAGTAATTTCCCTCCTTTTTTTTTCCTTTTTTTGTTTTGTTTCATTTTGCGTTTTTGTTTGGGTATTTACAGTCATAATTCCCCGATTGTACCTATAAAATATATTTAGAGACATCATTGACCATAGTTTAAAGTTATATTCAAGAGCCAGTTTTTTTTATTTTTTGAGTTAATAAAAGCCAATAATTTTTTTTTTGTTTTTAAGATGATATCCTCTTACAATAACTTTTGAGAGTTCAAATTACCGAATCTCTTGCATAGATAAGTAGAGGTGTACCAGATATAACTTTTTATAATATACAAATATATATTTTTTTATCCGATCAGATATATATTTATATATATATATATATATATATATATATATATATATATATATATATATATATATATATATATATATATATATATATATATATATATATATATATATATATATATATATATATCCGGTCGGATATATAACATCCGGATATGCCGGATATATTGAATTTCATAATTTAGCTAGCGTCTTTGTTATAAACAAAATTTAAATGTTTTTAAATAACAATTGAATATTTTTAAACAAATATGGCTTAAGAACAACGAGCATTTTTTAGAAAACAACTATTACCAATTTTTTTGCAATGAAATAAGGGAAGTGCAAAATAATGTGTAAATCAAAAAAAAAATTAAACTTGTATAATGTTTTGCTTACCTGTCTGCATATTTACATTATCTGCTTTTATTTTTGTTTAAAAGGTAATTGAAGTTTAATTACTTAACAATAACTTAAAAATTACATTACTATTTAAATTTCTATACTACATTTTATAACTTTTATTGCATTTATTAATTTGAATTTAGTAGCATTCATAAAGTATGTTTACTGTTATGGGGGGAGGCATTATCTAAAAGTGTAAAAGCATTATCTAAAAGTGTACAAGTGTGTATGAAGGGGTAGGGATAAGAAAACAAGTATGTAAAGACGGGGAGAGGGGTCCAGACAGTACATATGTACATGGCTGGATCATCTTTTTCATGAACTTTACTCAAAAGTTTTTTTACTAAAAATTAAAAAAAAAAAAGAATTTATGGAGTAAAAAAATCTATACCAAAATATTAAACTTTGAAATATGTTGATTTGGTAAACATTAAATGCTTTTAAATATTTTAAAATCTCGACTATATATTTTTATCATATTTCAAAATGCCGTATTTACCTTTGCTTCGAAGTCTTTTAACTTCTCTTCACATAATTTTTTTCGTTATTTGATCGTTCCTTGTGCGATTTTATATGTCTTTGTTTATATATAAAGCGATGGCGCTAAGGGTATATGTGTGTGTTTGTTGAGGGGGTGGAGGAGTCCTTATTTTTTGGAAATTACCGACTGACTATTCTAAAAGGTCAACATTTGCTGACTCAACAAAGAGGGGGTTGTAAATTTGTCATGGTTATAACTTTAGTAATTTACAATACTTTTGAATAAAATTCAAAAACTGTCGATGAATTTAAATTTAGTATAACATAGTCAAGTTGAAAATTTTATTACTAACTGCCCTCAAGTTTGGACAGGATACGGCTAAAATTTTAGGGTATTTATGTTCCCGGGCCTCCATCATCTAAAAATCCTGTGAGCGCCCATACTTGTAACTTTCTCGGATAATACCCAGACATGTCATAGACTTTTGTATTTTATTTTACTATCGTTTTCGGCGATCTCTCTACATTTACCAACTTGAGCTTACTCTGTTTGTTTTCAATGTCGCTTAAATAGTAGAAGACTCGCTTGTGCTTTTTATCCAATGAGGGCGTATATTTAACGTTGTCAATAGAAGCTTCATAATTGTTCGATTCATAATTTCGATACAATTAGTTCTTGTTTACGTTAGTTCCTTTAACTCTGCTAATGGCGCTTCACTATTTATGAAAAGAAAAAACGTGCTTTGCATTTTTCTTTTTCTGTTAACTGTTCTTTTTACTTTTGAACTGCTGAAAAATATCGATGAAATAAAACCGCAAGCTCGTAAGTGGCATTCAGGTGCACTAAAAAGTTTAAATGAAAATCATTCTAAATTAAAAAGGTTTAATTTTATAAATTGCTTATTTATATTTTTTCTTTAATTCAATGCATAACTTTAGTTTTAGCTAAACAATATATATATATATATATATATATATATATATATATATATATATATATATATATATATATATATATATATATATATATATATATATATATATGTATATATATATATATATATATATATATATTATATATATATATATATATATATATATATATATATATATATATATATATATATATATATATATATATATATATATATATATATATATATATAAAGGTAGATAGATACTGATATAAATTAGATAGATACAGATATAAATTAGATAGATACAGATATAAATTAGATGGATATATATCTATCTAATTTATATATTTATCTATCTATCTAATTATCTATCTAAATTTCTATCTGTATCTATATATATAGATACAGATATAAACAGATTAAACGTTTTTAAATAAATATATTTTTGTGGCACCATAATCATGTTAAATTGCTCCAAAAGTTTGTGTGGTATTTTGATTCATTTTAAAAGAATCACACTTTGGCTTAAAAATGCAAATGCTCATTAATTTCTAATATTAAATAATCAAGTGTATAATATACAATATGTATAAATTTTGTTGATCAAATTTAATATAAATTATTTATAGTTAAAATTTACTTTTATTTTTGCAATAAAATTTAAAAAAGGTTTAAAAAAGAAAATAGAGGAAAATAATTTTTTACAACCACTGTTTCCTACAGAAAGATAATATTTATTTCGTTCACTAACACTAATTAAATTCAGTGTGTGTTATTGACTGTCTTCGACTGTGTTGGCGTTTTACTCCATAGTATTGGAGTTTAACAACTCAAAACTTCAATAAAAAATAATTCTTAATAATGTTAAAAATGCATTTTAACATATAACAGAACATTTCTAACATATAACAGAGCATTTCTATTCTGTGAAATTTATTATATTTATTATGTTCATATGAAAAAACAAAAAATTTTGGTGCATTTCACTGTGTATATTTTAATTTGTGTCACTTGAAAAAACAATTTTTGTTCCGCGTAATAATAATTAAAACAAAAAAAAAAAAAAAATTTAGAAAGTTTTTCAACTTGAATTTTTAATCATAATGGCTTTTTAAGTTTAAATATTTATGCTTTTATAATTTTAATAATTAAAAACACTTTTAATTTAAAGAGTTAAATTTATGAAATTACTTTTATTTATTTTTTCTTATATGAAAAAATTATTTTTAGCTCTGTTTTGCTTCGTAACTCTTTGAACATGTCTTTTGATATTGATATTGTAATTTCATCATTTAAAAAAAGTGTTGAAGATAAATTAAATCTTGAGCAATACAATCGAGGATACAATGAACTTTATTCATTCTTTCTTGTGCTTGGTACAGTGTTTAAGTTTATTGCATCTGATGTTCGTGAAAAGATAGACATTTTGGTAAAATATGTTATATTTCTTGTCAAACTCACACAAAATATTTCCTTTTAAAGAGCTTATTAATAATTTGTATATGATGATATTATCATTTTTGTTATCTAAATTACCAAACTTATTTTAGGAATCTTTCCAAAAAGGAAAAAATCAAGAGCATTATACTCATACTGAAAAAATGATTATCTATGAGATTCAAATGAATAAAGATGACCCAACCATTCCTTTACTTGGATCCAGAACACTATTGCGACTTCATCGTGCTTTAAAATTTACTTATCTTTTCCTAGATGGTCTTATTCTACTTAATGATGATGATAACCTCTCTTCTATGGCAATTACAATGTATAACAAAAGTTTGGCAAATCATCATCCTTGGTTAATACGCAATGCAGCTAAGTTAGCTATGTATTCGTTGCCTAATAAGAAGACTTTGATTAACCAAATTGCTAAAGATGCAGACAAAGAACTTCTTTCACAGAAATTACGAGAAGGAGTTGCTGCTCTGGAAGTGGCTTATAAAGAAATTGAAGATTTGTACACTAAAAATAATTTGCATTCATTGCCCTAGTTATTTATTTTGTTTTTCTGAAGATTTTTAAATTAGTTCTTGTAATGTTTTAACAGTTACAGTTTTTTACTGTTTTTTTTTTTTTAATATATATATATATATATTTTGTAAGCTAAAATAAGTTAAAGTTATTTTTCGATACTGATGTTTTACGTTTAATGATGAAGAAATACGATTTTCGTATGACATAAATATCATTTTGATGTATAAAAATATCAAATGATCCAATAAATAATATTTAAACTGATTTCTAGAAAAGAATAACTATAGTTTTATTAATTCATGATACTTACAGAAAAGACCAGGGCTAATTGGCAAAAAAAATTAGTTTAGAGTAAGCCTAGTAATTTTTGTATATGGTATTTGGAAAGTAATACCAATTAAATTTCTTATCATTATCCAGTTGTCACAAATAGTAAAGGAAAACTTTTTAAATTAAGTCAAAATGTTTTGCGATTATAAAACCAACTAACCCCAATAAATTTTTGTTCACAATGGCCCCAAAAAAGACTAGTTTATTTTAAATAAGTGTTATTTGGCTTTTTTAAAATAAAAAAATTAATAGTTTCAAAATTAAAAAGAAAAAAAAATATCTATAATTTTTACGCGCATGCACTAATTGTTTTGATATTGCAGTGAATGATATATCACTGAATTAGTTAAGCAGGAAGGTTCTTTGTAAATTTTTGAAACTTCTGGTCAAAAATTCCAAAGTTAAATGCGATGTGGTAACTTCCTGCCAAGTAACTCCAGACCAAAGGGTGTTGTGGCTTTTTTTGATGTTTGAGGACGATTTTAGAAATGGAGAAAACTTCAAACTTGTTTATGCTTATACAAAATAAGATTGTTTTGCGAAAATTTGCTGTGATTGGAGCAAGGAAACTAATCCCTGAACTTTTGACCCAAACGCCGATTGCAAGTTATTAATTTAAACTAAATTTATATTCATCCATAAATATCAAATTTTATCAAATTTTTTGTTGTTTAGAAGTTATAAAAATTTTAAAAAGAACGACTGAATAAGAGCGAACTGGCATAAATGCGAAACAGTTACAAAAACTGGCATAGGTGCAAATTGGCATAAGTACGCCAAATAAATTTAAAAACATTGGCATAAGTACAAATTGGTACAAATGCGAATTGGCATAAGTGCGAAGTAGTTACGAAAACTGGCATAAGTGCGCCGAATAAATTTCCAAACACGAAATACTAATTTGTACTTTTGCCAATATTTGCAATTTTATTTGGCGTTCTTATGCCAATTCGCACTTATGTCAGTTTGCACTTGTGCCAGTTTTTGTAACTGATTCACACTTATGCCAGATTGCATATATACCAATTCGCACTTATGCCAATGTTTGCAAATTTGTTCGGCGCTTATGCCAATTCGCACCTATGTCAGTTCGCACTTGAACCAGTTTTTGCAACTGCTTCGCACTTATGCCAGTTCGTACTTATGCCGATTCGAACTTATGCCATTATATTCAAAAATCTTTTAGCGCACTTATACCAATTCGCACATTCAAATTTTAATCAAACTTTATTATTCATTTATACACAGTTATTTAAATTATGCTAATATCGCCTGGGGTACAGAAAAAAGTAAGTTGCAACGTCTGTATCGCCGTCAGAAACATGCTATCCGTTTAATCTGCTTTGCAAATCGCTTTTCTCACGCAAAACATTATTTTATTGAAACGAGAGTTTTAAATATATACGAGCTAAATATATATAATGTTTTATGCTTTGTATACATGTGGAAAAATGACTTGTCTCAATCTGTCTTCAAAGACATTTTTACTCCGAAACCCATCAACAAATACAATTTGAGAAATACTGATTTTTTAAATGAACCTTTCTGTCAAACGAACTTTAATCAATTTTGTATTGCCTATCGTGCACCACACCTTTGGAATAAAATTGTTTTGCCCAATTTTGACTTTGAACTACCCATTACTTTTCGTTTTTTTAAAAGTAAATTAAAAACCCTAATTTTTTCATTACAAGACGTATTATGTTATTATTAATAATATAAATTAATAACTTTGCCTTTTCTTATTTATATTTGTAAAAAGTTTATTCTTACTTATTTTGTTGATTTTATATTCTTTACTTAACGTATACGTTTATATAAAATATTGGTGAGTAGATCCACGTGATCTCTCTTTGGATTATATACTATATATTTGGATTATACATATATGAAATTTGTAAAAATTTGATACTGTTAATGCTTGTTTGAACTTATTTAAGGTTCTGACGACAAGATCCTTTGATCTTCTTTCAGATACCTTATTTTATATTTGTGAAAGTTTATTATTATTATCATTATTTTTTTTTTTGGCAATATATAGTTGTAATACGACCAACAAATGTAAAATTTAAAAAAAAAAATAAAAAATAAAGATACTACTAGTATGGTAATATCATGCTCGAAAAGTAATATAGATTTCACAATTGAAAATGTAAAGAAACATCTGGAAGTCGCTGCAAATTTTATGGAAGTAGATTTTTTAGCCGAAGAAGTGAAAAGCCTTTCTATCGATGTCAAGTTATATACAAGAAAAACAGCATACTATTTATAGCATACTGTCTTTCATAGAAATATTACGGCTGTTTGGAGAAGAAATGTTGAATTTAAAAACTACATCAAAAGAATGTCTTCAAGATATGCTTCATAATGCTATTCTCCATATACAAAATGTGCAAATACAAATGCAAATGATATCTCTCCTGTACATTCTGAACTATTTAATCTGTCATTCATCACCGTTGTATTTCCTGATATTTTAATAACTGCTTCATAAAAAACTCTTAATTAATAAAAAAAAACTCAAAACTTGAATGTAATAACTACAGACCAATTTCATTATTATTAAATGTCAGCAAACATTTAGAAAAACTTATGTATTCTCGTATTTTGTAAGCTATACTCTTCTTTTTTCAACAAAAATATGGTAAGTTTTCCATAAAGCAACAATGTATTTCCCAATGGAACCAGTGTATTTCTGCATTAATAAAAAAGTCTAAAAAAAAATATCCCCTTGTTACGGATTAGTTACTGCTCAACAGAATTCAATTTAAAAATATATTATTAGAGTGTATTTCTTTATAATTTCTCTCTGTATATAATTTCTTTAACGAACGAGTGGTTTGAATTTTGCTTTATTTATTATTTATCTACATTATATTTATTTATTATTGCGTTATTATTGCTAAATTTTATGTTAGTATTATATTTAATTATTATCTATGATATGTACATACAATTCATATTGTATTATAATTATTCCTAATATTATTGATACTTTATTATTATTGTTATTATTTTTTATTACTACTATAATTACTACATATATCATTATTATTGGTTTAACTATCTTTTCTTTTTTTCTCTCTTATATATATATATATATATATATATATATATATATATATATATATATATATATATATATATATATATATATATATATATATATATATATATATATTCTTTCTTTATTTCTTTTTTCGAGAATTTTACGTTTTTTAGACACTTCCTCCTACTTAGTGTTACTCCCTTGGCTAATTTCTAGCTATATGAGTGACCTAAAAAAAAATACAGCACTGATTTTAAAGTTAAAATCTCACTTTTTTTTCAATGCGTATTTGACGTCTGTGTTGTAAAGATATATTAGTGGCGGTATATACTTTTCTTATTGTCGTTTTACTGATTGATTGAAAACAAACAATTAAGTTTCATGACGAAACGTGAAATTTCAAAGTCTTTTACAGTTTTTTTAAGAAGTCCATGTAATCAAATTTATTATTTAAATAATCATTTCTTTTCTTAGAGTTTCAAAATTTGTATAAAATTTTCATAAAACTATCAAATTTATATAAATTTTTTGCCATTATGTTAATAACTATTTAAACTTTTTCCGTATATACAACTAATAATATATTATTAACTAATAATATATTAATAAAGTATTAATGTAACTTGAAACTATTAGAGACATACCTATACATATGCTACGTCATCTACTCTGCTGAAAGGGCGTTTATCATGATAAAACGAATCAAGAACTTATAAACTTTATTTTTGCAATAATCTATAAACAGAGAATGGATGATATAGGCATACAAATAATGACAAAAGAATTCGCATAAAAGTTTTCGAAAAGAAAGACTCAAACTAAATAACAGTCAACTCTTAATATCTAGATCACTAAAGGGACCGGGAAAAAAGTTCGAGGTTCAATTATTCGAGAATCAATTACTCAAGATGTTAAGAGAGGTTAAAAATAAAATAAAATTGTACGACTTTTACTAAAAACAAGTTATTTTTCTGACAAATGCCACTAACACCAAAAACTACAATTTTTGTAAATAAATATGTCATCTGACACTGCTTCAAATTATCTTTTCCATCTTCATTAAATCCTCAAGTTTTAAAGGTTGGGATCTTATTTCATTTCCGCATTTTGAGCTGTATAGCAAAACAATTTTCAAATCTTAAGCATTTTCTAATTGAACAAGGTTCGGCGCCGGCTCTATCCCAATAAGCAATATTGGTAAGGAAAGGGGCGTGAACTTCTACTTAAATGCTCTCCCGCGATGCTCCGTAATAAGACCGTAAGGACTTCTGGGAACCTAAAAAAAAGCAGAGGGTGGTGGGTCTTTGATCTCAGTACCTTCGTCAAAGCGTTTTTAACTTCATCATCGGTATTTTTCAAATTAGGGTTTAAAATCAGCAATGAATTCATACATTAGTAGCATGTGAACCAGTGGTTACAACATCAAAATCTAAACCAATGCAAGATTCTGCTGATAAGTTTTCTTGAATGGCACTAGGATCTAACTATCGCAAACAGTCAAGTTCTTCTGTCAAATATTTAAAATGGCGATCATCATCTGTTTCTGCAATATGCAGAAACAGCACTCCAAGAAGAAACAAAATTTTTCACTGCTTGAAGGGTAAATATATTCGGCAGTGGTTTGTTATTATCAACAGCCTTGGTACACAGACGGACAATTTTGTGACAATAGTGAGTTAGAAAAATAGCACAAAAAGATGAGTCAAGGGGCATCCATAAAGTACGTACGCAGGTAGGGGGTGGGGATTTACAAAAAGCGTCCGAATGCGTACAAGGG